GTTACCTCGCTGGTATCTGACATTCGTACAGTGAAAACCTGCATACATTTGAGGGTTGGGTTTTTCTTTGTCTTAATTTTTTCATCTTTTTCAGGCTAACATTGGTGACTCTGAAATCAACACCTTAATTTGAGTGTCTAAGCTTATAGTTTATCCTTTAACAAAATGTTTGTACTCACAGAGTTGGTCTTTTTCTGGGCCATCAGTAACATTTATACAGATAATTTCAGGAGTGAGTGATTATTTTCCCCAGGTTAGGTAACAGGTATTTTTAAGGACTTCTCATATTATTGAGGGTCTCATTGCTGAATTTCAGAAAACAACTTTCTTGGGTGTTCTTCACTAGGTCAGGTAACATAAACTTTTGTAAAACAACTGAATTTTTGTTGCCTTACAAAGCACTAGGAATGAGGGAATTCTGGTAACTCCTTGTTAGTGACTGTATTGACTCCACTGGTGTTCTTGTCCTCCCAGCTCAGTATTGTCCTGTCAGTCAAGGTGAAGCTTTTAAAAATATTGAATCCATGGATGTTTTTCTTTCCTCTGGCTTTCAGCAAAAAAAAAAAAATCAATGCACTTCACATCTTGAAAGTTAATCCTATTAGATCTGTTTCTTTTAATATACTGGGGTGCCTGTGTGTGCAGGATTCCCCTGTGGGACAGGTCTAGAAGGAAATGAGGATTTAAGTGACCACTTGTTCTGGCTACTTCAGTTATCCAGTGATAGGGGAAAAGGGAAAAAAAAATTAAAAACTGCTATGAAGCTTGAGTTTTGAGATCACTTTGGACTTGCTTTTCTTTCCAGGGTAAATCAAAGTTTGTATCCATAGGAGTCTTAGGTTTTATTAGTTTTGTAAATTTCTCAGTGAACAAGCAGGTCACGTATCTACAACAATGTACAAAATAAAAATGTGTTTTACATTAAATGCATTCTGTGAAGCTTCTCAACAAATGTTCTTCTAAACTGGGTAACATGCCATTAGTATTTCTTCATTTAAAATTTGCAAAGAAGCAGTTGTAGAAATGGTTGAGCAGGTGTGTGCATGTTGACAGTAAACAGGTTAATATCATGAGCATCTTCTGATTTCCTGTCCTCATCCATGTACGTTTGTATATATTTACAGATCACTGTGAATAATGAAAAACTAATAACTGTCCTGATAACAGTGCTTTTTGTCTTGCCTTTTTTTCTTTTTAATTCTGTAATTACAGTTTCTGTACATTGTTTTTCTTAGTGTCAGTTTTTGGTTTGAATCAGTGAGATCTTGATGGGTATGAAGTGAATGACATGCCAGTATTTTCTGGGGGAGTGTGAAGCATTAGTTTCTTGCCAGTGAACTGTTACAAATTTGCACATGGGATCTTCAAAGGAATTACTTAATACCTGTTCATTGTTTGTGGAAAGCAGCCAGAAGTTGCAAAATCCAAGTTGGGCTACTTTCATACTCACCATGTGACATTCTTGTTAGAAGTCTGAGTGTTTCTGAAATACACAAGGTTTCAAGCCACTTTTGTGAGCAAAACTGAACAATTGTTCTGGTTACACTTTGGGACTGGAGCAACCATCCTGCTCTTCCTCCATTTGAGATGCCTGTTCTCATCTTCTTGGCAGACCAATCTGAAAATTTTGATTTTTTTAATCTGTGAAGTCTCAGTAGGTGTTGTTTGTTTAACCCAGTTCAATAGGAGAAGTTTAAGTGTTGAAATGAAATTTTTCTACTGACCTTCCACTCGTGTCAGGATCAATATCAAATTTTTCTGTTGTCATAAACAATATCTTCAGTCACATCTTAATACTCACACTTTTGCAACCATTTGTTTTCAGCAGAGACCACAGAAATCTGCAGCTGGGAAGAGTATTTTCTGCAAAAAAACTCCCAAAGGATGCAAAACAATTGTTGTGAGATTTAAAAAAAAATAAATTTAACTATACATTGTTGTTAAAAAACCGGTTGTAGAGAACAGTCCCATGTGAGAAAAGGGATGAACTGCAAGGCAGGAGCAAATCTAATCCTTTCTTTTTGTAAACTAGTTATTTTAATTTAAATTACTCCTGTTCAAATGCAATGATCCTTGAAATGACATTTCAAAGGGTTTCTTGTGAGAGAGTGACTGGAATTGTGAAGTTACATTATGAATTTATTTTACTTGTATTGTTTTCAGTGTTATCTTTGAATCACAGAAAGTGATTCTTGTTGATGCGGAGAGTGTTCTACACCTTATTCTCAAAGAAAAGAGTAATTTCCTTTTAATGTTAATTGTTCTTGAATTGGGTTTATTCTTCTGTAACACACACTTGGTTTTATTTCTCCAGTGTTTTAGATGAACTTCTAAACTCAAGTGGATGTTCCTGAAGGTGAAAATGTAATTCAAGCTGCTTTTTTTTTTGCCAGCATTAAGTGTTTTATAAACTAGGAATCAATAAATAGCATCAGGATGTTGACAACTGTGTGAAAATAATGGTTTTGCAGTCTTGTTTTCCAGGATTCATTTGGTGATATGTGGCTGGGTTTTTTATCAGTGGGAGCTCCTGGGCTGCCTGTCATTTTCACAAGCAGTGTGAGACATTCTCACTAAAATAAAAGTGTAATAAAATACCTGAGGTCCATGCTGTGCTCTTAATTTGATAACCAAACTATTTAAGAGCATGTTGGATAACTTCTTTAGAAAGGTAGCACAGTTATATCATTGAATTTATGCTCCAGAAATTAATTTATGACAACATGGCCTCCCTGTTGTTTTTTCTGAGGCCTTTGACAGGAATCTTTGCTACTTGAACCTGTCACCGAAAAGAGATAATGCCTCCCCTTTTTTTACAGTTTACATAATAAATGTGTTGAACATCTTTGAAGAGCTTTTAATTTTATAAAATTTGGTTGACTGTCAAAGTTATAACAAGTGGCTTGCAGCCAAACTGCGTCTGCTGAGGAGGGATGGATCTCTTCCCAGCACTAGAGAGGCACTCATGGGCAGAATATTATGGGGAAAAGTTTGATGTTTTAATGTATAAAAACATTTAGGAGGCAAGATACATTAAAATGGAAATTTAAAGTGACTAAATCTTGTAAAAGTTTGCTGGGATTTATTATGGCTGTTTTAAAAGTGAAAAAAAAGTTGTTTGAGCAATAGGTGTTTAGAGTCAAATACTTTATTGTATCAGGAAATATAAAGTTAGGGAGCAATGCCTTGGTTTTATAAATACAATCATCCACGTTAAAACATTTATTCTTGTTTTTGGGGTAATATTGCTTAGCATTTGTGTATAAAGAACACGTATAATTCTTTTAATGTTAAGGACAAAGGCAGAAAGAACAATTTTATCCATTTTCAAAGGACGACATTTAGGAGGTTTTATGTCATTTAAAAATGACACTTTAATCTGTAGATAAGCCCTAGTCAGATTTGAATGTTTTAAGATGCTGAAAAGAAAGGCTTCTTTTGCAGCTGTTTCTAGCAACAGGGGAAAGATAATGCTCATTTCTGTTTGTATCTTGAACATTTAGTGTGGAAGTTCTGAAAATTATTTTTGTGAATGCAAATTAGATACAAAACAACTCAATGATTTGACTCTCTGGAAATGTTGCAATCCAAAAGAAAAATAGATCTGAGAGCTCTCAGTGTAATCACCACAGAACACACAGACAGCTTGTTAGATGCTGCCTCTGTGATGAAAAGACATAAATAATGAGAAAATAATAATACTGGTAATTCTAGGATTGGAAACTAAGGTTAAAGTTACCCATTATGGAGAGAGATCATTCAAACGTAAAAAGTATTTGTCATTCTGGTAAACGTATTTGCAGTTATTAGTGTTAAAATAGACCAATTATACTGTCCTCTGTAGATCTGTGCAGGAAGGGGGATTGTTTGATTTTACAGCAGGACCTTAAATTCTTTAATATAATATTAAATTCTTTAATATGCTCATTGTTCTTAACGCAGCATTTAAAAGGATTACAACAGTAAGTGGCTTAATAAAATGTTAATTTCGCAATGCCTCAATATCCTGAATTATATATTTAATTCAGAAAACACAATCTACTAAACCCAATTTTCCTTAAATCAGTATGGTTTGTATGTAATTATATATTGGCTGATGAGACTGAATAAACCCAGTTTTACATCCCTTACTGGTAGCCGGTGATAACCTGTCTTAGAAGGGATGCTGTAAAGAGATTAACACAATTGAAAATTATTAAGTGGAAAAAGAAATGTTCATTCTTCCAGGTGGAAGTGTATTAATTGAACAGGTAAGGAAATCTGCAGAAACAGAGAAGGAGAGGACTAACAATTTCATCAGGTTTCTGAGATGAAAACTGCAAATTCACAATTTAAGGTAGAATTTGAGGCTTGAGGGTTACATGAGTCTGAAATGGGGATAAAAGAGTTACATGAAATGTGGAGGAATTTGTGTGTGGGGAGGTCACCTGCTGGAGGCTTCGCAGCCCAAGGACAGCTGTGTTTTAAAAGAATGAGGAGGAAAAATCTTAAAATCTCTTAAAATCATGTTTAAGCATGCTGGTATTGTATACCTGTGTAATTAGGGGAAATAATTGTCTGGGGGGGGTGTTGTAATTTCCTGAAGGAAGTAACTGCTCTGTGTGTTTGTATGCAAAAATACCTGGTCACATGAGTGCCCACTCCATGTGGAAATGCCAGTATCTGATACTTTTGGGTATTATTAGCGTTAGAAACCATATAAATTAGATGGTCAAACTAAACCAAAGAAGTAAAATTCATCTTTATAGCTACCTTTGCTGGACTTTTTCTTATGAACTGCTTGGCCTGAATTCCCAAGGTCCTTTTCAGACTGTTTGTGAAGGTGGGAAAATTGTGTGCCGAGCAGTTGTTCTGGAAGGTGAATGTTCTGGCTGAGTCCTTCTGCTCTGCTTGGAGCAGCAACAGGAAATTTATATCAAAATGGTTTCATCATCATGATTTTTTTTCCCAGCGTTACCTGACATTTTTCACAAGTTGGTGTGTTCTGTGTCCCAATGCAGAATGGGTGCAGCAGACAATATCTACAAAGGCCGAAGTACCTTCATGGAAGAACTGACAGATACTGCCGAGATAATAAGAAAAGCCACACCAAGATCCCTGGTGATCCTGGATGAGTTGGGCAGAGGGACAAGCACACACGATGGAATTGCCATCGCTTATGCTACACTTGAACACTTTATTAGAGATGTAAGTGTTCATCTGGCATGTGGCTGTGAACACTTTTTCAGCCTGGAGGGCTGACTTTGGCATTGCCTTGTAGAAATGTGGCATGTCTTAGTTCATAGCAAAGTAATGTGGATAAGGGGTACCAGTTCTGTGATGCTGTGTTTAAAAAAAAATTAGAGCCAAACCTTGTTATGTGTCTATTTTTTGTTGTAGGTGGAGTCCCTGACCCTGTTTGTCACTCACTATCCCTTGGTTTGTGAGCTGGAGCAGCTGTATCCAGACAAAGTTGGTAATTACCACATGGCTTTCCTGGTGAATGAGGAGGAAACCGGTGAACAAAAAGGTACAGTATAAACCTGAGTGAGTCTCAGGCACTGTAGGTATGGGCATAAATCAAAATTGTTGTGATAATTGACACCTCAGTGTGAACGCAATGCATCCAAACTCAGAATGTCAGCCTTATGTGGCACATATGTCATACACACATTTTGGGGGGAACTGAAATCCATTTCTCTCATGTTTTACACAGGATGACTGAGCAAGGTGAAAGATCCACTCAGCCCAGCATCCAACTTTCCACAGCAGCAGAACACAAAGGATTAGGGAGCAGGGATTAGGGATCAAACATATGGCAGCTCCTTCTGAAAGATCTCTCTGTGTGCAAACATTTGGTATTTATGGGCCTTCGAGGGCAAGTTGTGTTTCCTGCTGTTTTGTATTTCATGTTTTGGATTTCATTTCAACGAGACTGCCCAGTTTATTCTTGTGTATCCTTATTGTCTTCATCCTGCTGTGTCAGGAAGATCGAAAATTTGGTGTTCTGTGGACATCAAAACACATTATTGTTTTGAAACTGTTTTGAAACATATACCTTCACTTGATGCTACCAGTTCTTGAATTATAGGAGGCATCATAAAGGCTTGTTCCCTGAATCATTCTTGGAACTTTTTATGTTTTTTTTTTAATTACCATGCTATTTGCCCTTAACCTTTCCCCTAAATAACGCTTAGTATTGTATTATGTGCTTATATTGTGAGCTAATCAGGACAGGGAACTTCTGTATTTGCCTCATAGAGGAGGTTTTGACTTTGGTTTTATTTTTTTAGGATCTGAAGTTGAAGAGAATCCTGAATTTATCACTTTTCTTTATCAAATAATTAAAGGAATCTCAGCAAGGAGTTATGGGCTAAATGTTGCCAAACTGGCAGATATTCCTGAAGAAATCTTGAAGAAAGCAGCTCACAAATCAAAGGAGTTGGAGAAAATAGTGAATATGAAAAGGTCAGAGCAATTGTTACTTTATAAAAATTATTTCCTTCTCTAATGCCTACTTCTGTTCTCACAAGTGATCCTGAAAATATTAATTAATTTAATTTAGGAAGTATCTTTGTTACTTTGGAACCTGAAACTGTGTTTGCATATTATAGTATAGAAGGGAACGTCGATATTCTTCTTCTGACTTAACTTGAAAATATGTATAATATATTTTGGTTGCTCCCCAAGCAGTCCAAATTTTTACTAAAAGTTTGGGGATTTTAACATTTTTCTGATATCCAGTTTTCATTTAGGGTATATGTACCTTATATATTGGACTAGTTATGAAAATTTGCATATATATCAAATAGCATAATCCTTCTAAATCTTGTAACATTGTGTACACAGTTTAGATATAAATATTTGCTATATTCATATTCATTTCCACTGGGAGTTTTTTTGTTATTATTATTTTCAGTGGCAGCCCTATGACCAAAATTCAAATAGCCTCTCTAGGAACATAATAAATCAAGATCTTGGTTGTCTGTGACTGTAGCTAATCCTGACAGAATAATTTCGTATGAGAACATTGTGACTACTAGTTATTTATAGGTGCAAACAGTTATTTTGAAACTCAACAGTTCTTGGTGCTTAACAGTGGTTCTTATCCCCTTCTAATAAAGCAAAATCAAAACATTCTATTTGAAGGTACATGGCAGTTTTTGGGAAAAATAATGTGTTAGCTTATGTTAATTGGAAATAATAGTCCATAATTGACAAAAGTAAAACAACAAGTTACTAGCAATATCTTAACTCTGTTGTTATAGGCTACATAGGGTTCTAAAATCAAGAAAAAATTCTTCAGAAAAGTGAGAGCTGGAAGGCCAGAGTTACTGGGTAATAAAGATAAAATGTGAAATAATTTCATTTATCTTTTTCTGTAAAAATTTTGCCAGCATATTACTTGGACAGGGTGCAAGAAAGTTCTAGCATGTCTTCATTGCTAAAAAAGGTGTTAATTGCGAAGAAAACCCATGAGCAATAAAAATAGTATCGGATGATGTAGCTGGAAGCCTGATTTAGAGTGGTCAGAGAGGGGATTTGAGGGCTGACTGAGCAGTAGTAATTAAGGGACTTGATTGTGTCCCATTTTTCAGCCTTTGGATCTGAAAGCTGCCATCTGTATTTTAGTTTTGGTAGGTAATTTGCTTATATTATCAGAGTGGAAAAGGACAAATATTTACTCTAAAACTGTGATGAGCCCTTTGTCCTGTCTCATCACTAGGGCCAGGGGAGTCCCTGTGCCTTTTTCCCAAAAGAGATGTTAACAACGTTAAAAGTGGGTATGGTGCATAAAATAACCATGGTCTTGCAAATCAGCCTCTCACCTGTTCATTGCAATGTATTTGTGCTCTCACAATACTCATGGGCCAGATGCCTTGTCTTATTTTTTTAAATCACTTTCATATTATTTCAGAAAATCCACTGGGTAATTTCATCCAGTTTTGACATCTTTGTCATCAGAAATGTGTGTTATCCCATTTTAAATGTCTTGTTATTTGTCACAGCTCTTATAAATCAAAAAACACCAAGAAGAAAATCAGAAGGATGTGTGCACTCATTTATATTGAGAATGCCTTTTCTCTTTATGATTCTATGAGTGCAAATTTATAGGGACTGAGTGATGAAAATGAAACAGTGCCAACTACAATGCTTTTTATTTCCTTTAACAATTTACTCTTTCTCAGTGTTTTGTATCATTTTGTCAATACTTCTGGTACTGTAAATTAGTTATAAAATTAATTTGTTGGCTGTCCTAGAGCAGGAACATGTATCTTAGAAAATATTAACTGGTCGTTTGAAGATCACATAACATTTTGAGCTGTGCTATTTTTAACTATGTATAAAATTTTGCAGATGACTGTAGGGCTTTCAAGGTTTAATGTGCTTCATTTAAAAACATGCCTGTATTTTGATTATTTTTTTTCTCTTTCAGAAAGAAAATGAAGTGTTTTGCTGAAGCGTGGAAGATAAATGATTCTCAGGAACTGCAGAAGTGGAAAAGTATGTGTGAACCTGAAGATGAAAGAAAGGACAGTTTTTAATCCTCAGATCATGGTTAAAGATGGAAGATATTGGAGGTGCAAAATATAGGTCTGGAGAGTAATAGATTCTATCAGGGTATAGTTCTGGTGCACTAAGTTGACTTTTTTGCCTTCTGAGAGATAAAAGATGCTGCATTGTGTGTAATTTTTCTCTCTCCACATCCCTTCCCTTTTCACCCTTCTTCTTAATTGCAAAATGTGTACTGGCATTGGATCTAATAGGTTTAGAAAATATGAAAAAAATTACTGATAAATTATTAGGTAAATATTTTATAAATAAAATAATGTGTTTCATCTTTATTGAACTTCAATTTCTAAAGAAATATTTCTCTGTGTTAGGAGAATGTAGCTGAGTCTCAGCTGTGCTGTACTGCTGTGCAACTGGTAAGAATGGGTACTATTAGAGAGACCTTTTTTCTTGTTATAGTGTTAATGCATTTAAAATTCACTGGTTTTTTAGAGCACCCTTTACTCCTGATCTTGTCCCTCTCTGGCATGGTCTGGATAAAGACTTAATGCCGAAAATAATCTTGGAGTATTGTAGGGTGAGTGAAAGGGGCAATTCAGACTGTGCAGCTGGTGCAGCCCCAGTGCTCTGTCAAGAACAGAGCAAAGCTGAAAAATACGGAAGTGTATTTTTATTTCCGGTTATCAATGCCAAATTTCACATGGGAACATGATATCCAAATTGTTTTTCCCTTGTAAATAACCACGCTAAATATGTTGCTGTGAAAATGGACCATGATGTTGGCGGACATATTCCTGAGGGACTGACCCTGTAAAGGGACCCACACTGGAGCAGCTGCTGAAGGACTGCAGAAAACTTTTTTACCTGCAATTTTTTTACCTGCAATTTTTTAACTGCTAATGTTAAACAAACACTTCTGTCCAGGTTCTTCAGATGGCAAAACATCATTTAAACAAATACTTTGTGTGCCACTCAAATAGCAGCGATCAATGTGAGCTCCTCCTTCCAGACCCTGCAATGCCTTGACTTAAACCGCAAGAGCTGAAGAGGAAAATTAGCCTTTCAGGCTGTGTTAACACACGTGTGTTTATCTAAACCAAACATTGTGGAACCTAATGAATGCAATACTCTGTTATTAATGTGCACAGATGCAGGGCTTTGGATCTAAAGGCCTCTGACCAGAGTTATCAAAGAGAATAAATGAGCCATTGCTAAATTCCTGTATGTGCTAAATGTGCTTTTAGTTGTTTCCCTCAAGGGAGCAGGAAAAAAAAAGATCTGGATGCAGTGAAAACAGTGAAGAAATACAATTAAGTGTAGACGTAGTATTGCTTTTTGCTCATACTATTGAGAACAAAGCAATCACAGCAGTATTGTAATGTCTGTGATCACACTGGAAACAACTGCTTGTTTCTAGCCCTGCTGAATCCAGCAGTGGAGGTTATCTTGCTATCCCAGTAAGGTTTCTTGTAGACATACAAGCTAATTACTAAAGCTGCTGTTTTATTCACTGTCCTCAGAGAGAGATGAGAAGCTGTTCTTTTTTTATTTTTAAATTACTATTATTCTTTTATTTGCAGTTCCAGCACATTCCTGCGCAAGTTGGCAGCCAGTCACTAGCGGTGTCCCCCAGGGATCAGTGTTGGGCCCAGTTCCGTTTAATATCTTTATTGATGATTTAGATGAGGGGATTGAGTGTACCATTAGCAAATTTGCAAATGACACTAAGTTGGGGGGGAGTGTCGATCACTTGGAAGGCAGGAGGGCTCTTCAGAGGGACCTGGACAGGCTGGAGAGATGGTCTGATTCCAACGGGATGAGGTTCAACAAGGCCAAGTGCTGGGTCCTGCACTTTGGCCACAACAACCCCCTGCAGTGCTACAGGCTGGGCACAGAGTGGCTGGAGAGCAGCTAGGCGGAAAAGGACCTGGGAGTTTGGATTGACAAGAAGCTGAACATGAGCCAGCAGTGTGCCCAGGTGGCCAAGAAGGCCAATGGCATCCTGGCCTGCATCAGGAACAGTGTGGCCAACAGGACCAGGGAAGTGATTCTTCCCCTGTACTCAGCGCTGGTGAGGCCACACCTGGAGTGCTGTGTCCAGTTCTGGGCCCCTCAGTTCAGGAAGGATATTGAGGTGCTGGAGCAGGTCCAGAGAAGAGCAACAAGGCTGGTGAAGGGACTCAAGCACAAGTCCTATGAGGAGAGGCTGAGGGAGCTGTGGCTGTTCAGCCTGGAGAAGAGGAGGCTCAGGGGAGACCTCCTCACTCTCTACAACTCCCTGAAAGGAGGTTGTAGCCAGGTGGGGGTTGGTCTCTTCTCCCAGGCAACCAGCAGTAAGAGAAGAGGGCACAGTCTTAAACTGTGCCAGGGGAAGGTTAGGTTGGACATAAGAAAGAAATTCTTTACAGAGACAGTGACTGGCCATTGGAATGGGCTGCCCAGGGAAGTGGTGGATTCACTATCCCTGGAGGTTTTTAAGAAGAGACTGGATGTGGCACTCAGTGCCATGGTCTAGTAACCACGGCAGTGTTGGATCAAGGGTTGGACTTGATCTTGGAGGACTTTTCCAACCCGACTGATTCTATGATTCTAAGATTCTATGATTAGGCTTCATCCTAAAAAGAATTTGAAGTACAGTTTTGGTAGTGGAATCATCCTGGAGATGTGCCCTATTTTTAAATTAGAGTAACAAAGTTTTGTCTGTGTGCTGAGTCAACAGGTTTTATTTTGTAAGTTTAAGGTGTAAGGTTGAAGAAAAGTGGCCTGTGCTTAGATGGGTCTTTGTCATAGCGGGAATTCATGCTAATCTTGGGTTTGCTTCAAGAATTGAGTGTTTAAATCTTGTTATCTAAATATTAATATTTTTGGAAACCTGCATAAGGCATTAGCTCCTACTGCTGTGCCAGCACGGTATTGACATGGTTAAAATTTAATATTCATATGAAAAATACAGCTTTTTGCTATACATCAAGGTACAGTCTGCTTGAAAAACTTCTGCACTTCATGGGTTTTACCCCTTTTTTTAAAGGTGGTGTTTATCACTTTTGTGAGCTTTTTCATTGTTCTCTTTTGTCTGTTCTTAACAGAAAAATGTTAATGCCTTTGTCCATCTTGTCTTGAAGGTGTCACCTTCAGAGATCACAGTGCCACAGGTGAGCAGCAAAAACTGGCAGAGCATTTTGATGAGAGAGAAGGAGAGGGAGGGCTGGGTGCACTGTCACTGCCTTTGTGTGTTTGGTTATATAAAAAAGTCATTATGGAATACGCAGAGTAAAATACATTACCAGTACAATTACCTCTATTGCTGGCAGACAACATCTGTCACTGAAGTAATTCTCCAGAGGATTTCTCTTTGTGTTGCAAAGTTTTCCAGCAGTATTTATAGAAATTACATGAATATGCCTATCACATATGTTTACAAAGTGTATAAATCAATTTAAAGATCATTGCAATGTCAGCTCGGTCAGGTATTGCGATAAAGTGTGTTTACCACAATGAAGTTAATGTTTATTTTTGAAGTGTGTTTGAAAGTAAATTATCCAAATATTTCTACTATATGTAAAATTATTGAGAATTTGATTCTATTCTTTTAGTAGAAATACCTTGCTAGTTCTGATATGTTTCCTAGGGAAATAAAGGTGGATTGTGTTGCACTGAGAGAAGTGGGACTTCCTTAATTACATTATACATATATATATATATACATATACATATATATATATATATATATACACATACCTTGCCTAGACTCAGAGATAGGTAGAAAGCAAAGGATATTTTCTTAATTTCTTAAAAATCTTAAACAATTTCTGAAACAATAGTCTTGACTTGTAAGATGCAAGGCCTTGCAGGCTTTGCTGTGTATTCTCTGAGGCTGGACTGGTTTAAGCCATATGTGAACTGTGGGGAGAAACATAAGGCATTTATAGTTTTCAAATATTTATGTTCTTTTGAACTTACAAGGAATCTGTAATTTATTTTTTTTTTTACTGCTCTCCTTCCAAAAGTTTCCATGTAAGTGAAAGTGTTTTTTCAGGTGTTATAAAGTAAGGTCATTTTTATTTAAAATTCTGGTAGCTACCACTAGTAATAATAATGAAAAATGCTTCTGATGTTAATGGAATTTTTAACCCTTTTGCTTTTATTTTTTAAGCAGTCACTTTTTATGACTTTATTATGCTATAAGAAAATGGGTGATTCTTGGGAAAGAAGGGATTGGAAAACACAATATGCAGCAAATATCAAATGCACAATCTGCAATAAAGAAGTAGAAATCAATGTTGTTGGTTTTTTTTTTTATCGTAATAATCCAAATATCTAGGGTGACTTAAAACTCAGAGTGTCCTGAATACTGGGAAGATTACTAGATATAATTATCTCAGTCTTATGTAACACTAAATAAAAGTTTCCGTCAAGTACTGAGCTGTTCCCTCTGCCTACATACTGAAATATTCTTCTTTGCATATTCCTTCTGCTCAACACATTAGAAATTGACTCTCGTCTTCGGGCATTCCAGAACATTTCATGCATTGTATGAGCACATATTCATAGTTTTTATTCAGAGGAGGAGGGAACAAACCACGGTCGTGCCCCTCAGAGGGCTGGGATGTTTAGTCGACTTGGATTTCCAGTGCTGGAGAGGAGGGGAGAGGGAAAGGTCTGGTTTTCCAGGCTGATCCACCACAGGGGATGAAGCCACAGGTGGGATGCATAGGGCAGGTGTTTGTTTTGCAGTGGGAAGGCTGAGGATCCTTCCTAAGGTGTGTCCTGGCATGGGACAGCTCCAGCAGCTGGTCAGACTCCGAGTGCCTGGGACACTCACTCAGTGGAAAAACAAGGGCTTTGGGAGGAGAATCAAAGAGGGGAGTGGGGGATAATCAAGAATAAGACCTCAAACCAGCATTTTTGTCTGGGTTTAATCCAGTCTACCCAAAAAGCGCTTTGTGGGGGAGTGATAATTTGGATTTTTTCTTTCAAAACTGATCTTAAAGCAATTAAGTTTTAATAATGCTAAGAACACAACACCAAGGTATGCCGAGCTGATTTTTCCAAGAATATTCCCAGCTCTTAGGCAGCACAGGGTCCAGTGGGACCACCCTCCTTCCCCACGGCTGGTATCTGTCATGTTTATGCTCCCCTTGGTTGTGTTTTATGCATACCTTGAGTTCATGTCATTGCACAGTGAAGTATTTCTGCATAAAGTGAAATACTGCACTCTGTTTGTAGTACTTCACCTAATGCAGACTCTATTAATGCAATTAAGTGTTAAAAGAGCTGATCTTCTATGTAAGTTCCTATTCTTAATAGCTCCTACACTGGAAAAGAAAACTTTGCTAATCCTTTAATTAAATTACAAACTAAATCTGTGTAGCCTTTTGACATTTATTTGAGTAGCAGTTAAGTCTTAGAAGTGATCTGTGGCTGATGATACGTTTATTCTGTCCCACAAGCCACCAGGCTGAGAAGCTACAGCATTCCTTCCCACCTTTTCCCCAGCAGTAGGACAAAAATCTTCACCTGATTCCTTCAGGATGTAGCTTTTTTCCCCCTTTTAACTGTTCTAACAAGTTTTGTATTCTGTTCTTCATATCCACTGGTTGTTTCTCATCTGGTATGTGCTGCAACCATCTCATTTATCACTGCCCTTTTATTCCTCCTGATAAAGATGGAGGGTCTTCAACAAAAAAAATAAATAAAAAAATTTTATCAATTTAAACTTTATTTAAATAAACATTTAAATAAATGTAGGCTTTTCTTCATATGGCAGCTCCTTGCAACTGATTCATTCTCCCTCAGGAATCCAACTGCTCCAGTGGAAGCTTCAGAGGAGCTCTGGATTTTATGTTCCCAAAAAGTGAGTGAGAAGGTGTTCCATTACATGCCTTGTGGTGCTGTTTTTTAAGCCAGTATGTCCTGCAACCTCTCTTGTCTCCCCCAGTTTCTGTACAGACCTGTCCCCTCATTCACAGTCAGGTGCAGGATTGGTTGCACCAGTCCACTGTAAATGAGCTGTTGAGCTGCACAGATCCCTCCCTGCAGGTGTGTTCCCCTTCGCAGGGTGAGTGAGTTCACCCTGATCTGTGCCACACCCTCAATTCCAACAGTTTCATCTTCAGGGGCCCTTAAAAATATTCCCAGGGATTTCAGCAAGAGTCTATTTAAGGTCAGAAATTGGTATGTTATTTCCGTTGTGTTTCAGTCTCAGCTGACATCCTCTGTATAATTTTGCTTTCAACTTACATATTTAATCATTTCTGCTTTCTGTGTTTTTGAAACATAGGTGAGAGAATGATAGGGAGAAGAATTTTGACTCTTCTCCCACCTTTACACAGTAATCCTTTAATGCTTTGCTTATCACCACTGGATTGGAATAAGGAATATCTGACTTCCTAATTTCAGGTCTCAGCCTCATTTGGTCTCTCAGTTTTAGATTCATGGAGTTTTGAAGTGAGTTGGTACCAAGTGCCTGTGTATCAGTTTACTTGAGCTTGACAGATCTCTGTGGTCACCATTAAGCATTTAAAACTTTTCCCTTTCCTTTCCTGTTCCATGATCTTTTCACATTACAAATGGCTGCCTTGCCGAGGACTTCACATATAAGAATCTAGGCACTGTATTTGATCTGGGTGTGCAGGTGAGAAAATGATGCTTGTTATGGGACCTGAGGTGATACAACCTTTTCTTTGCTGGCAATATGAGGCAGGAGTATCAGAGTAGTTTATAATGTTCCCAGCAGGGAGAGGAGATGAATTATTTGCAAGAACTGGTCCTGCACCAGAGCCAAAGTGGTCTTATCACACACAGGTTATGAGCTAAACAGTGTGGTGAGTGCTTGCCTTCAGGTTTACAAGCTGTTGTGAAGAAAGTTATGGAATACTTAACTGCTTGGAAAAGTGCAGGTTTTGCCTGACTCTGTTTTTTCAGAATCCAAGGGCTGTATGTGTGGCACATGCCTTTTGACTGTCCCAGGACAAACCCTGTGACTCACTTCAACTCCAATCTACCTCACACTTATGAAGAAACTGCCTTGGATAGTCAGACCTCCATACTGTTTTGGAATTTACAGTTTTGTGACTGGAAGTGATTCTCCAAAAATAAATGGGATTATTAATGAACCGAGGGTAGGATTGCATTTATGGACCATACAATATTTTCAGGTAGTGCCATCCAAAAGCCATGAAAACAGGATGTTTTTGTATGTCTGTGAGCCTCTGCTTTATAGATGAGGTTGGGCAATTTCAGCCAGAGGGAGGAAAGCTCTGCTTTTCCTCTTGTTAATGGGATGATGTTAGAAATCCTTACTTGAGACACAGTTGTGTTGTGAGACAACAAAAATTTGTGTGTGGTTCATCTGTGCACATCCACACCTGTCCATACTCTGAAAGACACATTCTCACCTCTCAGAAGAAATTGTTTTGAATATACATTGTTTTTGTTAAGTTATATTCATTCTGTAGGCACCCATTTAAAAGTTCTCGTTGGACTGGATCCCTGGAAGTGTCCAAGGCCATGTTGGATGGGGCTTGGAGCAACTTCGGATAATAGAAGGTGTCCCTACCTATGGCAGGGGGTGGTGTGTCCCTGCCTATGGCAGGGAAGGGCTTTAAGGTCTCTTCCAACCCAAACCAGTCTGGGATTCTGTGATGAACTTACCTTCACTACATGGTTCACCTGGCTTTTCAAAAATTAGCCATTTGTGGGAAAAAGCCTCAAACCAGATTATACCACACTGATGGATTCACTTATGCAGTAAAACTCGTACTCAGACCACTCAGTTCCAGTGTCACAACATGTCGCAGCAGCCAGAGGTGACACCGGTCAGTCATTCCTGCTTCCCATGTTCTTTCTGAGAAGAGCACAGGACTGAGGGGTCCTTTTGCTCCCCACAGACCTCCATGTACATGAATTTTCCATCACGTTGTTTGTCCCCTCCCTTGCTGAGCTGCTGAAGAGCTTCAGTGCCTGGCACACCAGGGTATGACATTTTTGAGCACTGCTGCTGGGCTGTGGACAAAATCCACCCCTTTTAGAGGCCCAAGATCCCTCCTACATCTCAAACACAACCAACAGTAATTCTCACTGAGAGACAGCTTGTCTTTTTTGATTCTTACCAAAGCTTTTTTTTCACCCTCCCCACATTGACTAGGAATTCATATTGTGCTGCAAATAAGTCACAGTTCAAGGACTTTTATATTTTTTTTTTTAATTCTAAATGGAAAACAGTCTCTTGCTATGTGCAAAGTGAGAGCTTTCAAGAGGGCAATTTATTATGACCTTCATAGAAAATACAAAACTAATGTATGAAGCTCTCAGCTGAGGGTTGTTTGTGTGCTGGAGCAGTTCACTCACTGCTTCACCTCACAAACAGGAGGTAACAGTCTCTCAGTCATCTCCTTTAAAAGCAGACACTGTTTGGATAGCATTGACATCACTTTCATGTCTGTGCAAACTTGTCAAGGTAAATCTCTCTTAGGTGCACAGAATGAGTATTTTAAACATTCATGTAAGCAACAGGATTATCCACTGCTTGCAGCCCAGAACTGGGGTTTGCCAGCAGAAATCCAGGTTCTCTTTGCTGCTCATTCATCTCCCAAAGGGAGACAATGCAGGTCTGATTCAGGGTGGCAATGCAGTGAATGTTCAGTATTTGCTTTCTG